ATATACTACGTTATACTTTTCGACATTATTGCTATTGCCGTTACCTCTTTAATCAAATTTATCCTTCTATCTAACGGATCCCAGGACCTCAACCTCTCTCTTACGCGTGACATCTTCTGAACATCCTTTTATGTAATTCACTTGTCACTCAAAATTCCACTATATTCACTTCCTTCCTACACCTCTTCTCCTTTCTTGCAATTCACTTCATTTATTTTTCCATATTTCATATTCGTATTTATTTATATACCTTTTAAAATTCTTATATTCATATAGTTTGTATAATGTAAAAATTACTTCTTCTAATCTAAACTGTGATTTAATTTTTTGGGTAGGAGTGAAAAAATTTGCCGCAATCACCATCTCTAAGTCGAGTAGTTTCTAATTCCTTACCGTTTTAATTCGTCCCTTTTTGTTAATTTTCTCTGAACTAATTGATAGACTGCGACTTACTAGATTCGGTGTAAAAACAATCTGTATTGATTTTCTGAAACAAAGAATATAAATGTGGCTGAATTTACTAGTTTTATTTTTTTAATTTATATAACTGACGAGTTATATTTTGAATTAATGTATTTCTTTTCGAGATGTTGAAATGAAGTACGGATTAGAATTCATCTTTCTTTTTTATCGCTCTACATTATCTACGGAGATAAAATGAGAATTTTTAAAAAATAGAACAAGATAAAAGGAGTGGGGGCTTTAGATGATGTCGTGTGTAGGAGAGAAGCCAAGGTTAAAGGGCCCGTTAAATGGGGTAAATTTGACTAAAGAGGTAACGACAAAGGGTAAATAATGTCAAAAAACATTGTAGAGGATACATGTGCAGACAATAGATTGCGTCAAAAAAATAATCGAAACAGAAAAATATTGTAATAATCGTGGTATTTGATTTCAAATGATGTGAGTGTACAATCTCTATGAATCCTCTGATTCTTCTTTTCTAAGATAAATTCAAGGGCCTTCGAGCTTGATCTTGAATCTATATTTGTTGTCACGAATGTTGATCTTGATTCAACTAACACGAACTTTGATTTGCACTTGTACTCCTTGAACCTTGATTTATTTTTTCGTTCTTGAGCTTGAACTTAATTTCTTGAACATAAACTTGATTGCTTGAAGCTTGTGGAGAATTTTGCGGCGTTTGATCCACGAGCTCTTCCTTGCTTCTTGTTATGATTTCTGATATCTTTTTTTCTAAGTTATAAAGACCCCTATTTATAGTTATAGAAGAAAAAATTTGTGACGAGAACAACTCTTTTTGATCAATCAGATTAAAGTATAACAAGTCCGTATTTGATTGGCCAAAACATATCATTTGCACATGTGGCGCAGTTTTATTGGCTTTTTAATTTGACCGAACATGCCTTGTCATTTTAACATGTGGCATGATCCTATTGGCTCTTCCATTTGACTTGTCATGCCACATCATTTGACACGTGACACCAAACTGGGCCTCTACAAAGATGTCATCTTGGGCTTAATGAAGTGGGTACTTGTCACGACCCCAAATTCCCTCCGTAGGATTTCATGATGGCACCTAGTCTTTAAGACTAGGTAAGCCTATCAATGCGGAATATAACTGAATATAAACTGAAATTTAATCCTTAACAGTCGAATAAATAAAAGCTGCAATTTAACAATTTCAACTCCCAAAACCCGGTAGGAATAAGTCACAAGTTTCTAAGAATTTATCCTCAGTGTCTATATACATCAGAGTCTAAAGAAAATAAGGAAAACGACATAATAAGGATAGAAGGGGACTCCAGGGTCTGCAGATGCTGGCAGATGTACCTTGAAGTCTCCGTTTACAGTCTAATTCATTGATGCCTGGTCTGATAGGAAGTACCTGGATCTGCACAAAAAGATGTGCAGAAATATAGTATAAGTACACCACATTGTTACCCAGTAAATGCCAAGCCTAACCTCTGTAGAGTAGTGACGAGTTCAGGTCAGGGCCCTACTGGAAATAATAAAAGACAAGGCGAACAGTTTAACAATATAATAATAATAATGACAATGGGGATGAATCAAGTAAGTAGTATGTCACAATTTAACTACACAGAATAAGGGCAAACAATACCTCGCGGAAGGAAAAACAAAAATTTACAACTTTAAGAAAATTCACCAAAATAATCAAAGGCAATGCAGCCAAAAAGAAATATCAACAAGGGCACTCCCGAGATACCACCTCGTAGTCCCAAATCATAAATAAATTCACAATATCTCATTTTCTTATATCACCGCGGGAGCCTTCACTTTTAATTTTAAAAAAAATATTTTTTCCGAAATAGCATCCCGCGTTTTAGCCACCCTTATCACACCGCATGACTTCTAGTAGTTCCCCTACTAGCCACGCGTATCAAGCCACTCTTATCTCACCGCATGCGTTTCAACACCCAGACCTTATATCACCGCATGCGTATCAATATCACAATTTGCAGCTCAAGTGCCCAAATATTTTAACTTGCCAAAATAAATCAACAACAAGAATAATTTCCACAATAAGGAGCTCACTGCTCAATCACAATGAGTGCAAAGTCTCACAAAATATTCAGCAAAATAATATCCATTATTTCCACAATACGGAGCTCACGACTCAATCACAATGAATATAAAAAATTTTCACAAAATATTCAGCAAAACTAATATTTCACAAATTTAATATCTTGACTTAACATCAAATTTTTTTAATGTAAAATACTTTATTTTTAATAATATTTATTAAGAAATCCAACCTTCAAGAAAGGATTTTCGCTTCTGCGGGCACTTAGCCGCTTTTGCGGTAAAAATCCCGCTTATGCGCGAAAAATATCCACTTTTGCGGACCAGCGACTCCCAAGCCAAATGCCGCTTCTACGATCCTCCATGCGCAGGTGCGAGCCCGCACCTGCGAAGTTCCTTCCGCATCTGCTCCCTCCGCTTCTGCGCATCCCAGCTCGCACCTACGAGCTCGCTTCTGCGCTCCTTCGCCCGCAGGTGCGGTTACATGAGATGGCAGAAACTTTTAAATTTTCTTCTAAGTTCGAATTCGATCCGTTAACCATCCGAAACTCACCTAAGGCCCTTGGGACCTCAACCAAATATACCAACAAGTCATAAAACACCATACGAACTTATTCGAAACCTCAAATCACTTCAAACAATGCTAAAACCATGATTCATACTCCAATTCAAGCTTAATGAAACATAAAAATTCCAACTTCTACATTCGATGCCGAAACCTATTAAATCAAGTCCGATTGACCTCAAATTTTGCACACAAGTCATAAATGACATAACAGAGCTATAAAAATTTTCAGAATTGGTTTCCGACCCCGATATCAAAAAGTAAACTCCCCGGTCAAACTTCCCAAAAATTCAACTTTTGCCATTTTAAGCCAAATTCCACTACGGACTTTCAAATAATTTTTCGGACACGCTCCTAAGTCCAAAATTACCATACAGAACTATTGAAATCATCAAAACTCTCTTCCGGGGTCGTTTACACATAGGTCGACATCCAACCAACCTTTTCAACTTAAGTTATAAACTTTGAAACTAAATATTCCAATTCATTCCAAAACCTCACCGGACCTGAATCAATTATCCCGGCGAGTCACATAACAACTGTAAAGCATAAATTGAGTAGTAAATGGGGGAACATGGTTGTAATACTCGAAACGACTGGCCGGGCCGTTACAGTTCTTCACTTGGAGCCCAATTAAATGGGCTAGCATAATAAATTTGGACTTATTTATTTAACCCATGTGTATTGAACTTATAATTAATTTAATTATATTAGCCTATAATATTTTAGCTGGACTAGAATATCTTGTATTTAAAATATATTCCAAATTATTTTATAGTTTTAGATCTAATAAATTTTGCATGCCCGCAAATGCCCCTACTTTTGTCGGGATATATATTTTGTCCCTTGAAGACAAGGCTTGAAGCATAAATTTGACGTTCTCGAGATTACTTGCAATGTATTTGGTAAAAATTGCATGTGGCGCCCTATTTGGTCGCCCCTTACTTGTACCCATTTTGTTTATCCGTTTGCATCCGTACCCTTTTTTTTGTTAAAAGCGATTTAAAAAGATGATTTTGCCCTTCTTTAATAAAAGACTATTTTCTCTCCAAGTATACGACATATTGTCTCTTGTCTCTGTCTCTCTATCCTTCTTTGCGGTTTTTGATTATTTTCTGAAATGAAATGGTTTTTGTCATTGCATTCTGCTTGATTAGCAACTGTTTCTTCTCCAACAAAATTAAGTATAATTACAGGTACGATTTTAATGGTTGCTTTTGTACATTACATTAACTTTGTATGGGGTTTTTAATTTAGGATTAGTTTTATGATTTAATTTCTAGATTTTTTGTTGATAGTAATCTTAGTTGAATCATTTTTATTTTATTTTATTTGTACTAAAATAGTTTCCTAGGTTTTACTTTGATTAGTGTATTAGTTTTGTAGCGTTTACTTTTACGATGAGTGTTTTTAGGTTTTTTATAACTGTGTTTGTGTTTTTGATAAAAATTCTATATATTTTCCAGTGATTGTTGGAGACGTTGAAATTTTTAAAAATTTTGAGACTCAAATAGATGATGTTATTAAAGTGTGAAGTTTATAATACTTCAAGGATACTTAATTCTTGGAGCTAAAGTTTTGTTTTGTGTTTTGTAAAAGTAAAGTATGTTTTGTCTGCAGTCTTTGTTTTCTTTTTGATGAACTTCAGCATTATTAGAGTTGAAGTTGTGTTCTGTATTTGTAAATTTAGAGCATGTTTTGGCTTAAGATTTTGTTCTGTAATTGTTGAACTTCAGTATTTTTAGAGCTGAAATTTTGTTCTGTATTAGTTGAACTTTAGCATTCTCAGAGCTGAAGTTTTGTTCTGTATTTCTCTGAAGTTAGAGGGCTTTAAAATATAACTTAAGCGAAATTGTGATGAAGTTTTAAATAATTTTTTTGATAATTTTCTGAAGTTATTTTTCCCACCTTTATTTTTTTTTTTGAAGAGATGGCATCTACGAAATCCAAAGAACCTAAAGATCCTAAAACACCTAGAATACGTAAAGCTCCTTCAGTCCCCGTTGTTATACCTACAAAACCAGGGGAGAGATATTATGAGTTTCGAGATTGGTTTAACTGTCGTGCTTACTGGAAGGGGAACCACAATTTTAAGGGTTTAATTGCAACTTTCTTGACTCCTGCACAACAGGAGAAGCTGAATAATGGTACATTTTGGCATATCATGGCTATGAAGAATTTTCATTGCAGCATGAAGTTGGTTCATTGTTTGATTCTTTCTCGCGTATTCACCAATAATCGAAATTCCATTAATTTCAAGATTTTTGGTTGTGATGTGTCGTTCAACCTTGAAGACTTTCACATTATGTACGATTTGAGGATCACAACACATAATGTTGAAAAATCGATTAAACGAGAGAGTAAGATTTTGAAGCGCTATTTTGGGAAGTCTAAGGGTGTGACCTTGAAGGACATTCAAGAGTATATGATGCGAAATCAAAATAAAAATGATGATGTGAATTTCAAACATGTATGCGAGAGTGATGAAGATGTTGTGAAGATTATGGAAATTCTTATTGTGGAGTTTGTTTTTTTCGAAAGAAAGCATGAATCAACTGTGTTGGAGGAGTATGCAACTATTGTTGAAGATGGCGAGGCTTGTCTTAATTATCCTTGGGGTAATGCGTCTTATGAGAAGCTTATTACCTCAATGAAACATGCTTTGGACACCAAGGACAAAAATAATCCAACTGAGTATACTGTAGGTGAATTTCCATATCCATTATATGTTTGGTTCTATGAGCGCTTCCCAGATATTCAGGATAAGTATTTAAAAGATGACGACTACCTTGATGTCCCTCAGGTTCCCAGGATGTTACGTTATCCATATTTGGGAGAGCCTAAATTTAAAGAACTTCATGCGGATTACTTCAGTAATAATGGTGTAAATTAATGTTCTTTATTTTTTTTTTCCCGCTGTTTTGTTAATATGTTGATGTATCAGTTTTATTTTATTTTTTCTAATATACTTTTTTGTATTAAACAAAAATATCGGACATTTAGGGTATTGGAGATAATTCCTACCAAAGAAGAATTGAATTCAATGTCTTTAATTGGACAATTACCATGCAGCCGCAGTCATTCGAAGGTACTGAATCCGATTCCTTCAACTGGTGAATCACCACGTAGTCGGAGTCGATCAAAAGAAACAAATCAAATTCTTGTAATTGGAGAATCACCTCATACCCAGAGTCATTCTAAATGTTCTATAATGGCGTTTGATGATGAATTAGTTAACACAATATGTCGTGTAAGTTTTTTTTGTGTGTTTAATCTGAAGTTTTTCGTACTATTTTTTGCTTAATTATAGGATGTTTTATGTGATATTTTTGTTCTGTATTTTGCTGAACTTCAGCATTATTTTTTGAGTTGAAGTTTTTGTTCTGTGTTTTGTAAAATTACAATATGTTTTGTTTGTAGTTTTTGTTCTGTTTGTGATGAACTTCAGCATTCTAGAAGCTGAAGTTTTATTTTGTGTTTTGTAAAAGTAAAATATGTTTTGTCTACAGTTTTTATTTTGTCTTTGATGAACTTCAGCATTCTTGGAGTTAAAGTTGTGTTCTGTATTTGTAAAACTACAGCATGTTTTGGCTGAAGTTTTTGTTCTGTATTTGCTGAACTTCAGTATTCTTAGAGATGAAGTTTTGTTCTGTATTTTCTGAACTTCAGCATTCTTAGAGCTGAAGTTTTGTTCTGTGTTTCTATTTTTTGAAATTATTGTGCTGTTTCTATTTCTATACTAGAGGGTAATGATGGAGGTTAAAAATCATGCAACAGAAGAAAGGCGCATGATCGCGAAAGAAGTTGTTCAAGAGTTTCGACGGGATGAGCGATCTACTATTGTGGACGATACTGTGAAAAAAGTCAAGGTAAGCTTATTTATAGAGAAGTCTTTTTTTCTGCTAATGTTATTCTTTTATTCAGAATAACCATTGTTAGTAATTTTTGATAGAAATATTTTGATAAGAAGTTTGAAAAGTTGTTTGAGATTGTCGACAAGTCAAAAGGAAGAGATAATGGCGATGCAGATTTTGAATTCATGAACTATCAACAATATGATAGGATGAATGACTCATTCGAACCTCAATCTAATATTAATGCTGGTCATGATGGACTGCATAAAGTCGCAGATGAAAATGTAAGAAGTGACCAAACAACTCTTGTAGGCCAAGTTCAAGTATTCAAGCAAGTTCAATGTGTTGAATGACAACCTAAAGCGGAATGTTCTAGTGTTGATAGACTGAGCAAAGTTGGTGGATATGAAGAACAGTTATCAACCAAGAATGTAGGAAGCAAGAAAGGTACAGATGATGAAGTTGTCGGTACTGAAGTACATGTATCGACTTGTGATTTGGGTAGTCCTATTGCAAAAGGCAATGTGTTTGCGGATGCAGATGATGAACATGTTGGTACTGAAGAACACGCATCGAGTGATGTAGGTACTCCTATTGGGAAAGGCAATGCATTTGCGGAAGCATTACCTATTTTCCAAGAAATTTTAGGTGCAGGGACACAGGAATTTGTCACTACAGTATATATTTTAGGTCATTATTTTCCCCCTATGAATATGCAGTGGAAGTTGAAAACAGTGGTGCTTCAATTGATATGACTCAAAAGCACTCTGATGATGCTGCATTGCAAGAAGATAGAGTCGAGAAAATCCTTTCGCAGAATACTCTAAGGCTCCCCGATGATGCCGCACCGTTGAATGAAGCTGGAATTGCTGAGATCGACAAAGGTATGCAGTCTGGCGATAGCGCAGTGGAAAGTAAACGTCAAGGTATTCTATACATCACGGACTTATTACATTTGATCCAAGTTTTTATTTTCAGTTTGGAATTTTACATACTTTCTTTTCTTTTTTGTGCTTTTTGATGATTATTCAGAAAGACTCGATACAGCCGAAAAAGAAATTGGTGAGCTCATTCGGCTATATGAAAAAGGAGAAATACATCTCTTCACACCTGTTGGCTCACAGACAGATGTGAAGTGTCTTGGTAGTATTTTCAAAGTTTAGTCAGTATTATTTAATATTTTTACTTTTTTTGCATGAAGATATAGGCATATCTGAGGGTAATGCAAGCGGATCCGTTGGTATGCAAACACCATCTGTGTCGCAACACTTAGACCAGGTAGTTATTTGCTGCAATTCGATTGCAAGGCATTTTTTGCCTAATGCGTGTTTATATCAGTTGTATTTATGTATATATTTTCCTTGTTTTTTGCAGATCTCATATGATGCATCACAACTTCTTCCAAATCCTAAGAGAAGGAAGGTGTCAAGTTCTCCTAATATTTTGCGTGACACCAGTGATATCCCCAACTTCAATTTATGTTCTTTTTCGCTGGGTAGTAAATAAGAGACTGGTTCAGAAGCTAATTCTATTGTTGTTGTTGTTGGTGAAGAGAGACAAGAAGATCATGAACAATAGGGAGTTGGAGAAGTATATGTCCCTATGGATGTGGATTTTTCCCCTGTTGCTGAACTGCAGCAGTTAGTTGCGACTGAGCAGCAAGAACAACAAGCAAAAAGAAAACCAACTAAAGTAGGGAAAATGATTCGTATGGAGAGTATTTGGTTAAAATCTCCTTACGTCATTCCTAAATAAAAGGCAATGGGACAAGATTAGAAAGCAGGAAAGACTACATGAAGGTGTCCCTTCCATTATGTCAATTAAAACAGCGGATTAATGTAGAGATTTACAGACTGGTTGAAGACGGATGCCATGGAATATGATTCCAAGCCATTCAGATTAGCTGGAATCGATATTCCAAAGTTATTCTTTACCAAGCTTGTGGACCCTAACTCTGATCCTGCGGATGAAGTAAGTTATTAAGTTTGTTTTTTGAATTGGTTTTGAACTATATTTCCTAAAACTTCAGCCTTATGTTTGTTTTAAAGTTTTTGTACTGTAATTTGGTAAACTTCAAACTTATGCATGCTTCAGTTTTTTAGTTCATTTGCTAAACTTCATACTAAAAGATGCTGAAGTTTTGTCCTGCAGTCTGTTGTTTAGCAATGAGTTTTTCCTAAAAACTTCAGACTAAACATGCTGAAGTTGTTTAGTTTATTTGCTAAAACTTCAGACTAAACGTGCTGAAGTTTTTGTCGTGCAATCTCTAGTTTTGCAATGAGTTTTTTTCTAAAATTTAAATTAAACATGCTGAATTTTTTTAGTTCATTTCCTAACACTTCATACTGAACATGCTTAAGTTTTTGTCATGCAGTTTGTAGTTTTGTAAACTCCATACCTATGCATGCTGAAATTTTTTAGTTCATTCCCTAAACTTATTCTTTTGCTCTGAATTATATTGTGGTTAAGTTCACATATTTTCTTTTGTTGTTGTTTGTTTGCAGCATATTGAAGTGGGCGTATATTTCTTGCACAAAAAATATTGCTATCACCTTCCAAGTAATCCAGAATCAAAATGTGCAGTAATAAATTTACTTTTTGATCAATATATGACTAAGTTGTCTAGTGTTCATCCTTCAGATGAACAGAAGGAGAAAGTTAGAATAAGGGAGGAAAAGAGAATGGAGGAGAAAAGTAAAATGGAAGAGAAAAAGAGCAAATCAAAGAGAAAGCGGGTTGTCAAAAAACAGGTGATTGAGGAAGCTGTGGATTATGAAGAAGAAGTAGAGATTGAGGAACTTACCGAGTTTACCTGGTTTATTGAAGAATCAACTGCTGAAAAGGTGGCAATAAGAGGCATTGACGTTTCATGTGGTATCTCATGGGCAACTGCCAAAAAAGTATTCTTTCCATTTCGACTTAAGCCAAGAGCTGTCCAGTCATCTACGCACTACTTTCTTGGAATTCTGCACTGTCAAACCAAAACTATATATGTGTACGATTCCTTGAGCAATTCACCATATGAGAGTGCATTGGAACATGTCCAAAATTATGCCCGGTTGATCCCACACTTGCTCGAATGCTTGAAGTTTGGCACACTGTAACGACCCGACCAGTCGTTTCGAGTATTACAACCCCGTCTTCCCATTTACTACTCAAATTGTGCTTTATGGTTGTTATTTGACTTGCCAGGGTAATTGGTTCGGGTCCGGTGAGGTTTTGGAATGATTTGGAACACTTAGTTCCAATGTTTAGAACTTAAGTTGTAAAGGTTGACTGGATGCGGACTTATGTGTAACGACCCCGAAAAATTTTTGCTAAGGAAATTAAGGTTTTATGGTGTCGAGGTAGATTAATTAGTACAAAGGTTGTAGGATGCACTTAAGTGTTGAGAAAAATTTTTGACAAAAGAAGGATATTCTGCGGTCTATTTTGCGACCGCAGAAACGTTATTTGGATCGTAGATTTACCGCAGAACGAAGAGAAAACTCGAGAAAATTTTGGGCCATTATGCGGCCTCAAAAGTGTTGTGCGGTCCAGTATGTGGACCGTAGAATGCTCGCATACTCGGGCACAATATGCCCAGTTCTCAAGGTCCATTTCGTGGGCCAGAGATGCATTATGCGGTCACATATGCGACTGTAGATCCTGTCTCGGAGCTTCATTTTCTTCTTTAGATACCCCGACCCTATTTTGATAAATAGCCTTTGGGGCTCATTTTGAAGGCAAAATTTTGATATTTTAGAGAGAAGTGAGAGTATTCTAGAGAGAGGAAGAAGCCCAAGTGCTTTGTTCATCAAGATCTTGTTCAAGCATTGACATCCAACAATCAATATCACAAAATCTTCACCCAAGAGGTAAGGTTCTAACCCTAGTCTTCAATATCGAGTGTGGGTAAAGATGGGTGATTGAGAGTATGATTCTTGGGTAAAGATTGTGTTGAAAAATGGTAGAAATCTTCAAGGACTTTAATTGAGGATTTGAGGGTCGAGTTGATGTCGGAATTTGGTAAAATTTATATGATTAGACTCGTGGTTGG